ATGAACTTTGTAAGTAAACCAATAAAATAAATTTAAAAAAATATATTAAAATAAATTTTTTTAAACAAAGAAAAAAGAATATTCATGAAAAGTGCAAAAGGTAATTACAATGAAGGATGAAGAAGAAAAGACCAAGATGAATATAAGAAGAGGCTCTGAATATTATACTAGAGCGCCAAAAATCCAAATCAAAGGGAAGAAATCAAGATGTTAAGGACCTGAATAGAAGATTTTAAAGGACAGAAAGGGGAGACAAAGCAAAGTATTATAACGAACATGCAAAGAGCTGGAGTTGGAAAATCAAAAGGGATAAACTCACTCAACATTTCTTAAGCTGAAAAACTGAAGAAGAAATTCAAGCCTCTGACCCAGGAAGCATCAAAAGAGGTATAAACATACAGCTCAATAAATGCACACATACATTGTTCTAATGAAAAAAAAAAGAAAAGAAAAGATGGGATAAATAAAGAACACTGCATTGGAACAGATGAGGGAAAGAACTGTTTAAAATGAATATATGATTAGGCATTATTTATTTGCATGACAACAGTTCGAAACAAGAGGTGCATAGAAAAATGGACTGGGATCCAGGGGGACGGAGGAAATGGTGCAACAATGAATTAATTTTTTTAAGAGAAAAGCAAACTAGGGGGGTGGGAGGAAAATGTACAAGAGTGAATGAATGGAAATCCAAGTTTTCTGTAAACTCTCATTAAAATCACAATGAAATATTATTAAAAAAATAAAAACATAATCACATGGTCAAAGAGATACTTCCAGAAGAATAGGAATTACACATAATATAACTATGCATGCAGTACGGGAATAGATGGTAGTTCAAACGCTCACGTGTAACTAAACAGAAACCACTTTGAGAAGCTCAGGGTTTATAAAGACATGTTTTAGAAGAAGCATCATATATTCAAAGGGGAAAAGAAAGAAAGAGCAGTGAGAATAGTAGCCAAGCAACTAAATTCCATGTGAGGCAAGGATTAGGCTTCGAATTGCCAAATACTTGATAGAGTAGGTGGGTTGGTGTGATGGTGGGTTGATTAGCTAATGAGTTCAATAATTAGAAAGGAATAATATTATAGTCTTATTTTGGACTGTTGTCTTACATATAATGCCTAATCATATATTCCTCTGAAACAGTTCTTTCCTTTATCTGTTCTAACGCAGTATTCATTATCTATCCACTTTTTTCCTATCCTCCTCCCAGCCCCCCATGTCAGTCCTGCTTAATAATAGTGGTGTTATGCAGTATTTCCAAATCTTCCATAAACTTTTATTAAAATCACAATTAAAAAATTTTATTTAAGAAAAGAAACTGACAATC